GGTATGGGTTATATAGTCATGACAGTGCCTTCCTATGATATTTTACACCGGGAAGGATATAGTTATTTTAAACCACAACACAATGTCTCAGTTTACAACAAATCCCCACTTCGCGCTTTGGCACGCTGAATCAGTTTTGCAGTTTTCGCATTAGACGACTACTAAAAACCGCTCATCCGTTATCGTTTACAGCCCCAGGGGAACTGATCTGACTACTCTACTCTGACACAGTTGACCTTCCAATGAGCCTGAATTTCCGTATTCTTCGTGAGAGGGCTGAAAAAATCGTCAAGTACAAAACACCCCAAGGAAAAGAAGTCTGTTTAACACGAGAGGTCTATCTTCGTGATGATATACCTTGTAAATGTCTATTATGCGTGCACCCCGGGTGCAACGCTGGTAAGTTTTCTGCATAGTATCTCACTCTCTGTAAGAGGGCCGTATGCTTCCGGCGGATCTAAAAAATTACATCGTAGTGGACGGATCAGAAGCCCTCAATTATTGGGAGATTTTTGAATTCGAACAGTTGAAAGGAGTAATCGTCACGTTATCGACGTTGAACTACGTGAGTGGTGCATCATTTTGGATTCTTATGGTAGTCTCGCAATAGGTTCAGCAACAAGCTCCCAACAAGCGTCCTTACAAGCGAATTCGGTCAGCTCTGGAGGATCCGGTGCAATCGTGCATATTGTTTGACAATGAATTTCATCAAAAGTGTTTCCGTCCGCCAGTTTTTGGTGAAAGTGTGATGGACTTCACTACAAGGTATGGCAGATTGCTACTCACCGCTATTGTTCGCCTTAAGGATGAATTGGATAGTTGCCAACTGGTACCAGGCGCATTTGGGAAAGTGCGCTTCAGTCATTCTCGTGTCAAACAACAAGGCCGTGATCACAGACTGCGCCTCTAAGTCCATTCAGTCGAAGGATTTGGACGTGGTCGTAAGTCACCAACCGCTTTCGATTCGTTTTTATGTGGTACAAGTAGGCGCTTTTTTCTTCTTAGCCTACCGACCTGGTCCATCAAACAGTACAGGCGCTCTCGACGTTTGTCTCAGGCTTAGTTCGACGTTGAATTGGAAAGAGTCCGTTTTCCATCCTCAAAGCAAAGCATTTCTATAATTTGTGTGCCAAGCACCACTGGCTCACCATCTCGAGGTTTTATCTTGAGGGCACACTTTCCTCTCTCCAGTCAAAACGGTGGCGGTGACAATGACGGTTCGACTAATGTATAAGCTGCTAGGATAGGAATTAAGAAATGAAGGTGACAACAAGGTGATGAATTAGGAGAGTATCAGGAGGCAAGAATCGAATGATGCTAGTCCGCTACTGAGGAAAGATACCTAGCCAGCACGATAGGCGGTGTTTGTAAAGCAAGGTATGTTGCGCCTTCCGTCATGGGATACTTGGTTATGCGGTCTACAGTGCTGATGCATCCTTATCATGCCGAAGTCCTTTAATCGTATCAAACTGGGTCCGTCGCATGCTCTAATTGTGACGTTTTCTCGGTGTTCTACCTGACTATACTTTCATCGGTACACCTCGCCCCTGATCCAAAGTCATCCGAGCTAGCTAGCCACAGCGTTCACCTTGATCATACAACACTTTTCAGTTGGTACCGTGAGTGATCTTCTTATGTAGTCTCACCGGAATGCACTGTTCCCGTTGGCATTCGCGCAGTGGGTCATGACTTTTCGCCAATTTTGTCAGACTTTGGTCTTTCCTGTCCTCAGTTGATGCTTCCTCTTGGGTATTGTTTACAGCTTGTTTTGGTACGCACGGGTTAGTAAGTGCTGTGACAATTTGTTTAGAGAGGAATTACGTGGAATTCTTCAACCCGGGTTATATACTTCAGATCTGAGTCACTCCTGTTGATGACTCCTTCACGGTTAACTCGTAGACAACTAAGCGCCAACTCCGCTGATCCAAATGATTCAAAACAGTTGTAATAGGTTTGCTTTCCACATTAAAGGGCCCGCGCCTTTTGATATACCATAGTGGGTGCGAAGCAGGCCAGGGATTGATATAGGGGTTGGAAAGAAAACACCAGTGCCGTCCCTAAAAGCACCTTTTGAGGTGCAATCTGCCTGAAGGTGTCGCGTAATCCAGTAGCACCCACGGATTAACTGAAAACTGGTTGATTTTTTGGAAGAAGACCGAGAGATGTGGATTGGGGGCGAGATTGCCCAAGTGGTTGGAGCGCGAATTTACTGATCGGAAGGTCCGTGCTTCGAACCCGACCTCTGCCTCTCGACTTCCCCTGTCTAGACTTGGGCAACCTGGCAGTATCCCTGCCCTCGTGTTTCCTGGTGACATGGCAGCTAGGCACCGGAAGGGTGCTACAGCTGAACGCACAGCTAAACGATGCGGATCATATATCCGACGTTTCGGTGAAGAGGAAACATTCTTATGAATGAGCGCTTTGAGCTGAGGGTGGTGGTCATCGACAGCTTAACAGCGGTGTTCAACACTGATGTTTCACTGCCTTACAGCCACGATTTATCTGGGAGCCTCATTATGAAGGCAAATAAGCGGAAAACGAAAGAGGTTTAGTTCTGCCCTACCACTATCATTCCGAGGTGTCTACATCTCCAGACACTTATTCAGGCAACCTGGATGGAAACTGACAAATAGAACGCCATTGATATCGATTAGCAGCCGTATCTCGCAGCGTCTCCAACGAGGCGCAATGGGAATCACGCGGACTTTGCGCTGAAAGGCGAGTCGCACCGACAGTATCCAGACTATTCGTAATCTCTTTCATTTTCCTCTACCAGGTCAAGAGTTACGGTCCTCAGGAGGTTATTCGGCAGAGTATCCGTTGAATAAGTTGAAAGTCAGATTTCAGTCTTCGTTTTGGCGTATCTTGCTCATTTTTATGTGTGGCCGTGGACCGCCTATTTCGAGATCTGATAAACTCCCCCCTTATTTTACAACATGATTGCTATTGGAGACTTCATGAATTGCATTCGTTTCTCTGCCTGTCCTAAAACTCAGCTCATTTCTGCCTTCACAAGCAACACTTCCAGTAGAGGAGCTCTTGGTGATGTACCGGGTCACTTCTTATGAGACAGGAGAGTACTACTTGTTTTTACAGCAGATTTGTGGCGGATGGGACTAACAAACCGTTGCCCAGACAAGATTGCGCAGCTCCCTTTTTAGAACATTTGTTTTCGATTCTCGTTCATTCGATTTTATCCTAGCTGATGCTATTCTGATGACACTTTCTCCCGAAATTCTCTAGGTACTCAGTCTTCCAGAATTTTTGCAAACCTACCATCCAAACTTGTCAGAGGCAAAGCTACTTTTGGACTCTCTACAGGCGTCGTTACACTCAAAAAAGACTTCAGTCCAACATGTGACTCCATCTGCTAACGGCCAAGATGAGTCTGACGGACAGGTTGTGAAGTCGACCATTGTTCCGAACGGTTCGTTCGTTTGTTTCCTTTTCCGGACTTTGTGATCACTTTACTTTCTGACTAGTGTGTAAAAGGTCATTAGGGTCACCAGTTTACCATGTCTTCTCAGCCCCGTCCAGCTCAAAACATTCGTATTTTCAACACACCATTCAAGGCGGCTGTTTACTCAGTTTTGTCCAGTTACAAGGGAACTCCTCAGTCATCCAGATTCTGCGATATATTCCCGAACCCGCATAGTCCGTCTCCGTATGCTTCATCATCTGTACTGTCACCTTTTTGGGCGAAATCGTGTCCGTTTGTCTGTGTAGAACACTCTCAGAATGGAAAAATCCGGATCTAGTTAACTAAACAGTGTGTAGGGGAATGTTTCTATTCTCATAAAGGAAACTACTCACAAGGTTGCTGAAAAATCTTCGGCAGCCCACGACCGGTTTCGCCCTTCTTAGAGCTCATCAGGTAGGCGCAGTCCCCGAGTTTCCGTCAACCTTATGTTCTACTTGAACCCAAATTGGACTTTTCGAGAAATACAAATCGATTTGGTTTCCACGAGAGACTCAACTGAATCTCTCGTTTATGATATTCTACAACTGAATGTGCTGCACCCAGGCCGCGCCTACCTGATGAGCCCCAAGAAGGACGAAGCCGGTCGTGAGCTGTCGAAGAGTTTTCAGCAACCTTGTGAGTAGTTCATTTTATGAACCATTTTTTGTTCGTAATGAGTGAGTGGCGATCGTAATCATTGCAGTCATGATCTTGGAGTGTCGGTTTTTGAAGGCTGAGAACAATTATCAACTGAACCAACGAAGCGGCCCCCTTGGCGTCGCATTGTGCGAACATACATCATGATGCTTCTGGATTTCTCTACGTACCAAATCGAAATTGGTCATAAATTCAACAAACACCCGTCTTGAATAGTCCTCGGTTACTTTCAAATAATTACAGCTGCTCGTAGCTGAAATATGTATGTTGAGGCCGGATAGTTTAAACTGTGTTTCGCACGCACAATCGTTTCGGAGACTTACAGTTTAGCGTAGTTTTGTCTAATGGCCTGGTGTGATCGTGCCCGTCTACGCATCTCACACGAATGACGGCATATAGCAGTACATCTGAGTTCACCCTCCCCCCTGCGTCAATAGTACCACCGTGTGGCAAATTCTTACAGTGAATGGGCGGTGTGTGACGCTACGGCAATGGTTCTAAAGCAAAAGTTGAGTGACAGTGGAATGCGGACAAACAATCGAACTGAGGAATTAGTGTGAGCGGTGTAGGCAGCAGGGAGCAGTTTGGAAATTTCCGACTACTAATGCTATTAGAAGACGACGCTTACGTCAGCAGCGACAGTATGCAAAAATACAAGACAAAGCGAAGGGTAGCATCGATTAGTCTCATATGCCGGTATCTACCAGTTTGATCGGGGCGAAAAATCGCACACAGGAATAATAAATTGGTATTAGATTTAGAAGTTAAATTCCCCGAGGAAGGACTGGTTAGAAAAGGTCAGCCCCCAAAACCGCACACTCCGATCGCCCAACGGTTGACCGTGACCGCCGGCGCATTATCCAATACGGTCGAAATACTTTTAGAACCAAAGAGCCCGGTGCTGCTCAAAAGGCACTTCCTGTGCGCAGCCGCATCAGGAATGAGACAGTAATGCCTTATTCCCTGTGCCTTCGGGTTAGGCCAACCCCCTGCAGCCGAGCAGGTCAGACCATTGAGTCGTCGGCTCCGGGCAATGTCCCCCCCAAAAAAACCCTACATTCTCCCACTGCCTCGTGGGTCAGACTTTTGAGTCAGAGGCTAGGGTCAGGACCCCCGAGCAAAACCCTACGTCCTCCCACTGCTTTGTGGGTCAGAGTTTTGAGTTAAAGGTTCAAGGCGAGGTACCTCAACCAAACCCCCTTCCTCGGCCTGGGCAACCGGGAAGTATCATTTGCCCGCGCAGTTCAGCGTCCACCGATGTCCCATCCCCGATAGCGACCCTTCTGCACTTGGTTATCCTGATCGTGGTGATAGCTGCAGAAACCAACAAATAAACGAGATAGAAAGAAAACAGCAGTTTGGTATATTTTTATCCTTGGTCACTGTCCAGACTACCACAAGAAATGAGGTGGATACGTCGCTTTTGATTAGGTCACAGTTTTTCTCTTCTCCAAGCTTGGGAACTGCCACCTGATCGTCAGTTAATTAATCCACCCGAGTCACCAGTATTTCAAGACGCTGTTGAAACAGATAT